GCAAAATTAATACCTGTAATGTGTTAGGAAAAAACCTGTTTACTAGACGTTTCTGGCATCGCAGCTTTCCTCACGTTGCCTATAGCGAGTGGTAGAAAATTTAAATAAATAATTATCACGATTTGAGAGAAAACTAACACTAGGATCTGCACTCTGTTTTTGGCTAAATTCACACCACAGCTTCTCTGTAACTACATTAATTTCTAGTCCAAAACTGGCTACAATTTACAAGAAAATTGAATGTCTCTATCCATGTATACAACGATTCAAAGTCAATAACTAAACACTAAGTTGTTCATGCCGTCATATAGTCAACACCCTATTAAAACTGAAGAAGATAAATTACTCGTAAAATAAATTAATTGAATACTTTTCGTTCCTGTTGTTTCAATTTCGGTAGGCTAGGCTCGTTGTCATGTAGCCTCAATGTAACGCAATATCGTATTTTATGTGCTGACACGAAGGCTGTCTGTTCAGATTTAATTTCCAACCATCAATCTCTTCAGATAATCAAGAGGCGTGGTTCACTGACACAACGACCCGCCCAGCCTTTAGTTACTATACAATAAGTTACAGATTACAAGTTAACTTTACCGTACTAGAGAAGACTATGCTTTACCTCAACATTTTTTTGTTTCACATCACTTCAGGCTAGACCTAGGAATTGCGGCGTTACTTCGATTAAATTTATTGGTGATTTGGCGGGATTTGAACTCGAAACCTCAGGAACAGAAGCCCCGCGCTCTACCAGTAGTAGACCCTCGCTCCCATGTTTACCTCAACATTTAAGTTCGCCGCAAGGATTACACGCAGTTGCATATTACACAAGTCGCAACGCTGGACAAAGGTTTCTTTGTTGTGAAACAAAAGAGATAATTATGCGCTTCTTTGCCATCCGTTGATGAAAAGTTGCATTTACACTTTGAATGTCGCTTTTGTCTACAAATGGATAGTACCGTAGTACCGTAGGTGGAAAACGAAAGTTTGGTGCGTGACTGTAGCGTAAGTTGGAATATAAATTATTCAAGGTTAAATTAACAGCACAGCGAGTGTTCACTAACATTACATTATTTCCTCATTATCAAAACAAATGCTCGCCTTAATCCAAAGGTCGCCGCATCGATCCTGAGAAAAGTCAGCAGCTTTTTATGGTTTCCAACTGGACTCAGCTGATCCTGATCATTGGGTATTATCGTGATTGATGAAACAGCTGATCTTGGTGCTTGGTCAGTATCTCACCACATTCTACACTCATCTTTCATTCATATTTGGGTTGAAATGGTTGAAATACGCACCTAGGTGGTGTCAATCCATCTCATAATGATAATATCCAACCGGGATGATTCTGATTCTGGTTTAATACAATAATTACAATTCGTTTGGTTGGAGAGAATAAACTGCACAATGACTAGGTACATATCTTGGATAAATTGCTTCTCAATATAGGTGCTTGTCACTTGTGTTTCATACAAACACTAGTAGCTTTACTAGTGGGGAGCGAGCGGGTCTAGTGGTTAGAGCGCGGGACTTCGGTCCAAGAAGTCCTGGGTTCAAATTCCACCAAATCGAAATCACCAATGGATTTTATCTAAGTGTTAATGCCGCAACCCCTGGTCTAGCCTGAAGTAATGTGAAAAAATCCTATGCTCGTGCCTAGTGTCCTAGGACAAAAAAGTAGCTTTACTAGTGCTATTTAAACGCTCTAAGAAAATAAGAAAAATAAATAAGACTTTGAACACTACCTACAAAACTCATATTGTCACCATTGTCTAAAGAATTTGACGTGTTTCCCATCCATAATCAAAGGCACTACCGTGGTAGTCTGTTTCTTGTTTCTTTAAATCAGTCGTGTGGAATAGTGGAATTGTAAAGTAAAAGAAATGTAAAGCAAAATGATTGCAAATGTACACCCAGTCTTCTACCTTTCTTCTACTATTTCCATAAACACCGATCAAGAATATGTAAGGTTAGGTATGCATAAATGACACACTGACGGCCGACGGGTATATATTTTATATGCATGCTAAGCATGGTACTGTAGTTGTATTAGTCACTAGAATTTAGTTTGATTTTATGCTTTAGTCATCTATGTTGTTTTTATCTTGTGGAAGTATGTATGTGTAGGCAGGCCTAGAGACAATGGTATTTCGCGTTGGGGTTGGGTAAGGTTTGAAATAGCCAGGGCCAATGTTTGGTGTTGACTGTTGAGCTGGTGCCAGTGAGGAGGCGCCGCCAGACCCGACAATGCGTTCAATGCGACAAACTCGAAATGTCTCATTGAACAAGCACATGCCGTAGTTGTACTGGTTTGCTGATAAGCTTACAGAAATAAAATCAATAGACAGGATCCGTTCCAATTTTATTGAATGCAATTAAGTTAATGAACAAGTACATTACTACTTACTTATTTAAACGTTATACACGTTTGCATATTTTATACAATCACAATGATGAATTAAATGACTTTTTCACGACTATTAGAACAGTTTATGCTTTAATGTTCGTTACTTTGTACCATTCGACCTTCGACCATCCGTCCCTGTGTTAAATTATGATAACTCTTTAGTAAAAAGGGTTTAGTAGGTAGGATGGGTGAATAAGGGGTGTTAAACTGTTATAAAAAAAGTCCTCGCCACCCTAAGTTGAGGCAGCCCAAGGCCGCAAGGTGTATATTATCTAGTGCGGCCTTTGGCTGCCTCAACTTAGGGTGGCGAGGACTATACAGTGAAAACCCTTATTCTATTAAGTATATAGATAGAAGATGTATACATATTAAGTAGTATGTATGGATGTAAATATTAACAATTATTTTGGTTCATAATTAACTTTGTTAAGTTACTGGACCAAAGGAATTAAGCCTAACTTAAAAATTCTAAAAAATGTGTTTGATCTCCAACGTAAAACTAGAATTTCAAATCTGTGGTCACAATAGTTTTCATTTCATTGTAATCCTAATCCAACCTCCCTTTCACCACCCAACCCACAAAGATTTCTTTTGTCGAAACAACTTTCTTTGTTGATACCACTACTTGTCAACAGTATTAATGTTACATTTTTATCGTGTTCAAAGGTATCAAAACTTTAAAAGTGTTTTATTTATAGACCCTACACCTACCGGTATATCTATAATATTAAAAATAAGGCTGTTTTTGTTTGTGTGTTTTATCACAGAAAACGTATTACTATACCTATACGTTATAGTATACGTATACGGTTATAGTAGTACGTTTTCTGTGGTTTTATCTGCTTGAATGCACCAAATGAGCTTAAATATGTTACACAGAGGAAGATTAACTATGCAAACAAATATCAAAACACTAGGCTTATGTTTTTTTGTGGTAAACTACACATTTTAGTGTGTCAGCAGAAGAACAATTAACTTTTAAGTAAGCAATCTGTGAAGAATTGTTGCAAGTTTGCTAGTGAGAAATTAATTAAGGGTCCATTTTGTTAAGTTAATTAAGTAAGGTCCAAATCGTTAAGTTAATATTAAGTTAAAAGTGACTTAATACTATATTTTTAGCTTTGGCTTTACTGTTTGACTTAATGTCATTTTGAACATAGTGCATCAGCAATTATATTATTTTTGAACCATTAGCTCTGGTATTGCATACATTAATTACCAAACTCAAGTTTGTTTTTATACATGCATCACACAGGTGTTTCCCCTGGTATTTATTCTTTTAACTTAAACACATTAATTACTAAACTCAAGTTTTGTTTTGTGAGACATGGAACACACAGGTGTTTTTTGTGTGTTCTGTCTTAATGGATGGACAGGAGCATAGATTAAACACACTCCACACTCCCCTATAGATTTACCATCCATAGATCGGCTAGTGAAAATTCAAAAACTATTTTTGATAGCCTAATTCAGACATGTATGAGATATTATATGTCCAGTATTATTTTGTTTCCTTACCATTTAACTTATTTTAAAATTACTTAAATCAAGTTATAGACACCAGGTTGTCCTCTAGTTTTAGAACCAAACAGTGCAAAAAAAAAAAAAAATAGAGAATCTACCGTTATAATTTATAGTACGTGAAAAAATTGAGTCTACATCACACATTCATAACAACAACACAAAACACAATATAAAACCAGGCTTCAGATTTTAACTCAAGGGTTGAGAAGTCTACTTCAGCTATTTAAAGTCAACTAGTGCACCTGTTGCTTGAATTCGAGCAATTGTAAAGTATTACAGGCGTTATTTAAAAACGAATAACGGTCATAATTTCCAATGACTTTAAAGAGTCGACTCAAAGATATTGTAATAAATCACTCCACTCCAGGTATCGAAACTGAAAATGAACTCACTCTGAAAACAAGCTCTAACTATCATGTATCATGTGTTTACTATGAACAGCTGTAATTAATAAAAATTATTCGTCTGTTTAAGTAAACAAGACCTTTTCTTCATAAGAAATACATTGGAATTTTGAGGGCCTGTGGGGCAAAGCCCGAAGACTTTTGTTACAGGAATTGGTGAAAGGGGGTGTCTACACAAAAAGTACTTAATTTTGACACATCGTTTGTAAAAATCCTTCGATTATTAACGGAGGAGTAGTGTTTTGTAGAAATCGCCTTCACGTATTATATATAAGAATGACAGTGGCTAGAGCACGGGTAACTACTCCTTAAGGTTCTCATCACTACCCATAACTCAAATACCAAAACTGAATGTTACCAAATATAAAACTATATAAAATATAAATAAAATATATAAAATATAAATATAGTGTTTTATTAAATAAAAAAGAATATATTAAAAAAGGGTAGGCCTACTCATGCTATTTTATATATTATTTATTAATAAAATATAAAAATATAAAACTATTATCTACAAGAGTATACATAGCTTTTCATATGTAAAAGGCTGGTATTAGTAGTCTTTTTTTAAACTGACATCACTCAGTTATTTGCCAGTTATGACCAGCAAATGTTTTCTATGGTCTAACGATCCAATACTATTTTCACAATTAAAAATTAACTTCCAGATAACGTCGGTGCTGATCATCACCCAGATCTCGTCCGAGCTCGCAGAACCAGATGGTGGCGGGGGAACGTTCGGCATCTTGCTCGGAGTCGACATCTACGAGTTCAAATACACAATGTCTGGCGAGGCGGACGAACAACGCACCAGGAAAGGTAATTTATTTTATTAAAGCGAATATGATTGAGGTGAAGATGAATGATGTGACGTACTGTTTTTTTTTTTTTTTTTTAAGAGGTTGCCAACTTTTTTTTATTTGCCCGTCCACATGGGCAACTGAGGCCTGTGAGTGGAACATATCCAGCAAAGATATGAGTGAGCCGGGATTAAATTGATTTGTTACTAATTAGGACCAGGTGGTTAACCAGGATTTAAAGCACAATAATTGACAGCCAGTTCGAGCTTCCACTGTGGCTATAGAACTTCCATTGTCATGTTTTAATCTCTTCGACAAAGTGTGGGAATGTAAATTACTGATTTCTGCTATATACACCAGCTTTTAAACCAAGACAAACTGAAAGTTCAACTGCACAACTTATGTTAAGTATAGAAACTGTCATGTCACATTAATATAAACTAAGGGAAAAATTATAATTTCAGACTAAAATAAACTCTCTGAGTGTGTCATTCATTTTTTTTATTAAAAATGTGCTTGTCTATGTAGGCTAAGCATTAAGATTGGATGATATCCTTTTCTATGAAAATTTCCTTGCCATCCAAATACCTATTCCTGTAATGGTACCATTTACAAGGAAGAGAAATGTTGATATCGCTAGAGTACCAACTCTCTTCGGTAATCAGATCCAGGTTAAGAGGGAGTTCAAGTACCTAGGAATAAGGCTGGACGACAAGCTCACCTGGAACAGCCATTTGGCACATATAACGCAACGTTCTCAGACCACACTTATGATGATGAGGCGGGCTGTTGGGAAGACCTGGGGTCTAAGTCCACAAATGACTAACTGGCTATACACTAGGGTCGCAAGACCGATGATGGTGTATGGCTCGGTGGTCTGGTGGACCAAGGTAATGCAAACTACCGCTGTAAAGAGACTACAAAAGATCCAGCGAGTAGCATGCCTTAGCATCACAGGAGCCATGAGAGGCACTCCAACTGCAGCCCTGGAAGTAGTGCTAAACCTGCCACCTCTCGACATCATTGTGAAAGGAGAGGCAAGGATGGCAGCCTACAGAATGGCTTGTAGTGGCAACTGGAAGTATAATGCCTCCAGTGAGCACACAAGAATTGTAGACAAGGTGCAAAAGAACTCCTTGGAAATGCTACCAGACAGGATGGTGAAGATCACAGATCTAGAAAAACCATACAATGTCAACATTGTTGACAGGGATGCCTGGGATAAGGGTGAACCTGAATTCATGAAAAGGGGGAACACCTGGTATACGGATGGCTCAAAAAAGCCAACGGGCACGGGGGCTGGAATATATGGAGTCAGACCCAAGGTGCAGTTATGCGTAAGTTTGGGAAAAATGGCCACTGTATTCCAGGCAGAAGTGGTGGCCCTGTCTGAGTGTGCGAGAGTGTGTTTGAAGCGCGGTCTTATAGGCCACACTATATACATGAACTCAGACAGCAAAGCAGCACTAATGGCACTTGACAGTTTCGACTTTACCTCCAAGGCTGTATGGGACTGTCATCAAGCCATGAAAGCCCTGGGAAAGACCAACAGGATCATCCTTAGTTGGGTTCCAGGGCACAAAGGTATTGCTGGCAATGAGGGAGCTGACAAGTGGGCAAACAAAGGAGCTGATAGCCCGCTCATGGGTCCAGAGCCGACGTGTGGTATTGCTTACAACACAGCACGGAGAGCTGTTCGCCAGTGGATGGGCATAGAACATCAAAGGAACTGGGAAAGAACAGAAGGAAATGTACAGTCAAAGAGAATGCTGAAGGCACCTACAGGTGCGATAGCGGCAGAAGCCCTTGGGCTGAGTAGGAAGACCCTGCGGAAGGTGGTTGGCTTTATTAGCGGCCATTGGGTATTCCGTGGACATTTACACAAGATGGGAATTCAAGTTGAAAGCCTCTTATGTAGGAAATGTGGAGAGGAGGAGGAGACAGCATTCCACGTGATATTTATGTGCCCAGCCCTACAAGGTCTGCGCATGAGATCCCTTGGCCTATCGACTGGAGATCAAAGGGAAGAACGGGTCACCATTGTCAAAAGGATCTCACGGTTCACAAAGGACCTGGGATTTGACAAAGAATGAGGACCTGTGAATGAGGGTGCACAATAAGCTGTTCTAGCTGCGTTGCAATCCCATGGTTACTTGAAGCCTGGCCCTCTATTAAAAAAAAAAAAAAAAAAAAAAAAAAAAATACCTATTCAACGTCAATCAGTTAAAGAATTTAACTGTTGTCCTTTAGAACATTAAACCACACAATATAAATTATGTAGTGGGCAAGCTTTGACCATTCTAATAGGTTAGGCTACTGTATTCTTATAGCTTTTATGTAATTATAAAAATCTTTTTGAAAAAACCACAGTTTTTTAATACATACTCAAAAAACCTCATTAAGTTCATTGTGAACAACGCTATTTACAGAACTAACCTTAATAAGTCAAGTTAGAAGTAAAGCTCCTAAAAATGATGTATGAAATCATGAAATTATAGAGATCCATTTCCACTGTATTTAATGTTTTGTTTGTTTAGTTACAGAAATAATGGTGGCATTTCTTCTGTTCACACTCACATATGCGGTTGCTAGTGCCATCCTGATATGGGGCACTATTGTGGTAAGTACAACATTTTTTTTATATTTCCACTTTAGTTTATTGTAAAAAGGCATATGTATTGTAACACTTTAGTTTGAAGCAGTCTTTTTGCATGATTCAATTCGGCCTTGCCCAAGTTAGTTTGATGTTGGACACATGACCGTCAAAAAGCAAGTACTTCTTAAATTTGCTTGGTTGGACGCAGTGAACCCAGTAATTATGGAATTAGTCCTTGTTAAAGACAATCTTTTAACTATTACAAACAAGTTGATTGGTTGGCTTATGCTCACTTTGATATTATTTCTAACTTGATAATACAGAATTTCGTATGGATTCTATTTGGGGTCTGATTCACTGCCAAACATTTCTGATAAAGTGATCACCTCAATGGCTATGTTCAGGGCAAATTGTTTGGCAGTAAATTTAATCCGATCTCAAGGTTTTGATGCTGAAAATTTTAAGGATTGGCCGGTAAAGCCTACTCATGACTGCAGACTTTCTGTTACAGTTGGTGAGTTTTTAATTTTCGACAAGTTTGTCTATGTTTAGAACTATTGATGTTCAACTTAGTTAGTACAGTATGTGCTTTCAAGATTCAAACTGATCAACCGATTGAGTGCAGGTACATGAAACATATCGCAAATCTCCCAAGTACACTTGGGCGGCCTAAGGTGTTGTCTTCGTACAACCGCTACATTGAAAGCAGTGTGCGATCTTACTGTGCTCGTTGGTACGGATGTGTTGAAAACTACTTTCAAAATTAAACTTCGTTTAAAATGCACTGTTAAATAAACAGTTGACTTTTGTGACGACAGGAGCAGAGTTGGTGCGCCATCCCTTGGCTCATCTGCGAAGCCTTCAGTTTTGCCACACAAGTCTCCACACTAGCGATTCACGCCATCGCCCTCCGCACCAGAAAAGACACTTTAGTATTAATGGTTTCCATCCTAAAACTAGGTACGTTTATTGTTGCTTTATTGATAATTTTTTACTTGCACGGACATAGGTATGGATTGTGTTAATTAGATTGGCGAGCGTAATGCACATGTAAACAGGTATCCTTCCCCTCAGCTGTCGACAATTAATTGCTGTTGGATAAATTTAATACCAATAGTGTACAGTGGTGTGGTTCAGTGGTTCTCATTGTTGTTGGGAGCCTTTCCCTCAGCCCTCCCTACCTAGTTAGTACTTAGCCTTAACTGATTCATATCTATTACGTGGTCCTCCTTGCGCTTTGAGCTATGTTTTTCGAAATGCATTAACCTTTTTTACAACCGATTGCCGTCCATCAAGAATATGCCCACTTTGGGAACAGCAAATCATAAACAAAATTCCACTTCTCCACAATAGTTGAGTGAGGTACGAAAAAATGTGTAGACCTCCCTTTTTTGCCAATAAACCACTGACATCCTGATTCAGTTGTGGAATAACTTCAGAGGAAACAAATACCAAACTCATCCTTGATTGTTTCGGTTATATAAAAAAGCACTGAGTTATTTCATTGAAATTTTGCATTATTTTTGCAGGTTTGTCGCCATACTTTTGGCTGGTTGTGTTCTGTGCTCAAAGGACCTGGGCGAGACAGAGGAGGGAAAGCAAAGCGAACGAGGTTAGACACAACACGCTCAAGGACGGAACCGCCCTCCCCCTGCCCAGCAAGTTTGCTCAAGTGTAGGCTGTGAGACGCTGTAATATAGCTTAGTCCTGCGAACATCTTGTTTGTAGTCTGGACTCTCTTTTGTCATTGAAAAGTCATAAGTCTTCAATTAGATATTTTAGCAACTAAATCAAAAGTCCATAGCACTGAAGTACTACAAGGTTTTGTTTTAGGTACAAATAATATTCACAATTAAAAATGCTTGCTTGTTCCTAGTTACATAAAATCAAAATGTAAACCATTCTTACTTCTAAGAAATAATTGTGCTGAAGAATATTGAATGTTTAGCTAAAAACCCATTTTATGTGAATCTTTGCTTCCATAAACACAAACCTAGCTGAACTGTTAAGGTTAAGATATTTGCTTTGATGCATGTATTCGATATCAATCAAAAATACTTTCCAATGAGATAAGGGAGTCCATTAGGCTAACAAGAAATAATGATGAAACTTACACTAAATGTGCTAAAAGTATGATGTGTAAGGACTATTTTCTATTGAAACATCTTCCAGTTTATATATTATAGCTATTACAAGTTTTGGTTTAGTTAAATCATACAGATCCAAAAACACTGTGTTATGTAACACAGCTATGTACATTGTGCCATCATGATTACATAACTATATTAAATGTAAACCAATCTAACCAAAGATATAATATCGTGATGTAGACAATTTCATTCCCGTTTTTAAATTATAACTGGTTTAAAAAAAGCTGTGTACAAAAAAGTGTGTTCAAAAAAGCTTGATATCAATTACTTTTTCTTTACCGTCCAGATACTCGTAACCAAAAATTAAATCGCTCACTCAAGTTGTACTGTATTGAAATATGAGTTGATGTTTTTTTAGATCTGAATGTAATGTACAATGTATTCCTCTGATGGCTTAGTGTGCTTGGACCCTTTAGCTGTGATCACTAAATAAAAATTAAAAAAATACTTCCCATTTGTAGTTTACATTTTAATATGATCGGCAGCTAAAACAAATATTTAAGTTTACTATTGATTTTGAGCTAACAAACAATAACCTAAAAGCTGAAAGTTTGCTACTTAAAAACAGGAAACCATTGACTTGACTACTGAATTTTAAAAATTAATTCTGTTCCTTTTCCATTACTGTAATTAATTTTACAGATTTGTTTATACCTCACTGTTTTTACAGAAAATAAAAACTATGATGCATATTATCATTATCCAAAACTGTTTACAATTTTGAGAAATTTACTATTGTAATAATAAAGCACAGTAGGATCATAAATCTGAAAGATTCGATGATTTCCTAGTTTTTTTTGCATATCATTTATAGAGATTTGTTTATCGTCCTTCTAGAGCAGTTCCTTACGATTTTTATGTGTCAAATTTGCAGTTTAATACATCTTTGTAGTGCCACTATTATATTTATAAAGATAAATAGTTTTGACAAAGGAGTCACACTGTTAGCTATTAATATGAGTTTATATGAGTTAATTTGTTTTTAAGTTGGCTTTATTTTCAAGAATAATTTCTTTAGAAGCAAGGATTTTTCGTTTTTCTTTATTAAATGAAACATGAAACATATAAAACTATGGGTTTTCTTAGATTATAAAATTGATTATTGCTTTCTTATTTTGTTCACATTACTTGTTTGATACCAAAATTTATCTACAGTATCCTATACTAGCAAGAGTCATAGGTAGCAATTTTAACATGAAAGAATAGTGGTTCCGGTAGTTTTTACAGTCAACATATCAAGTCATAGCAATAGATATATTTTATGCTTGAAATAATTTTGTATGAGTACATTTTGTTAAGTATTGCGAATATTGTGGATGCAATGAATCTAAGTTAAACTAGCAATTTCAAAGTTTATGATTAAAGAACATGTCAAGTATTTATTTTCTAGTCTTTTTGCTTAAGGTTGTTACGGTATAAGATATGTTACGCTTAGAAGACTGTTATGATTGTCTTTGGCCAGATAAATTAAAAGCTTGTATAAAAACTATATATCAAAGATTCAAAGATTTTATTAGGCCATTAAGTTTGTACAATAGGCTACGTCAAAGTACATCAAGCATGACTTTACCATAGATTTTAGTTCTGTAAGAACTACCAAGAGAGTATGATGCTTGTAAAATCAAACACTGATATTTACAGTTTTGGAAACTAAAACCAAATTCCTATTAGGTATGTATTTGCAGGTCAACAGAATTCACTATTTATACTGAAAATTGTAAAAACTGTTAAGTTCTTAAGAGTCCTTGGAGGCTAGCGGCCATCTTGGATAATTTCAAACAGCTGCTGAAGAGCTAATTATCATTAAAAAATAGTTTTTCAAACACGAAAGTGATTATAATTTTAATATCTAGTATACTATTAGATAAGAAATTTTCGTTGTTGTTTTGGATTGATTTCCCAGGGATTCTATGGAAGCCAACGACCATCTTGAATTTGCTTGAATAAGAGCAATGTTAATTTTGTTATTTTCAAACAGCCGCTGAAAAGTTATTTACCATCTCAAAATATTTATTCGAATACCAAAGTTATTTTCATTTAAATATCTAGTATACTGTGAGATTAGAGATTTTCTTTGTAGTTTTTTAACTGTTTTATGAGTTAGAACGTCTAGACTCCAAGGACTCTTAATGCCCAAAATCACTGTAAAAGAATCAGTGACAAACACAATGTTTTAGAAAAACACTGAGGAACAAAATAGTTCTATAAAAATCACTGGCAAACAGGGCAACATAAAGATTTAAAGTCGGCACCACGAAAGTTTGCAGTTGAGGGAGGAGCCCATTTACCACGTGACTTCGAAGGAGCCAATGAGGACAGTGCGGTGTTGCCAAATCTAATAATACCAGCTGATTTGAAAATATTGTTTAGTATTTTAATTAGTGTCGTCAACGGGCGATATGGCTACGTCATACTAGCCTTGTCTTGTGATTGGCTGCTGCCAACTGCAAACTTTTGTGGTCCTGACTATAATGACAAACACAAACTCTCAAAAAATCTCTGTGTATACAGCTTATTTAATTTGCTAATTTTTTCTTGTTCCTACTGATGTCTATGCATAATGGCTTGTATGCATCTCTGTGCTTTATATGCAAATTTATAAATTACAGGTTTAAATTTTGGCATAGGTAAACATTTTTCTCATTGGATATATTTTTTGTTAATATCGTGAACTTTTTTATACATTGAAGACAACAGGTTTCTCATATTGAAATAATCTCTGACTTTGAAAGTTTTGGAAATACATTATTTGTACTATGTTGTTTTGGAAGGCAGTGTTTTTTGTCTGCAAAGAGCCAAGAACAGAATCAAATGAATTTATGTATACAACTAACTTTGAGTAAATAACAGTACAGTGGCTCCCTATATTATTTAGAGGTTTTGAATTGAATTGAAGCATATTCACAGAGTTAATAGTTTGTAAACTATCATCCATTATACCTCATCAGGTTACGAATTTCTCAAAGTCATACAAAGTCAACATCGCAATTTAAGTTTGTTACAAAGTTTTAGAGTTTATCAATGGCAAGCTGTAAGATTGCTTGGTGTATATAAAACTAGTTGTTATAATCCTACTAGACAAGTATTGTTATTGTAAATAAAATTTATCTTTTTGAATCAATTTTACGTTTGCAGAGTTTAGTTTATTTTAAAGATGTAAATACTCTTTTAAAACAAACTGAGATTTTTTGATATCTGTGATATTATTATTAATTTGAAGCGATTTGTATGAATCTAGTTTGTACATTGTTATAAATATAATCTTTTATTTCACAAACTGTTCCTGTTATTGATCCTCGTTTTGTAATTAAATTATTAATAGTTAATAGCATTCATGCTCATTTGGACACCGCCATTGACTTTGGATGGAATCAAAAGTAAATTATTTATCCCCATTGAAACAGCCGAGGATTACTTTAATCATGACCTCCTCTAATAAGCCACGGCAAGACTAAAGTGGCACCGCAGCCCCGGCAAACTGAAACAGCTGTTGCACTAATGGAGCTTCTGCACAATGGTTATGTTTACATGTTCGTTATTACTGTCAGTGCCAGATTTAACCACTAGGTCTAGGGCTGCAAGCAAGAGGGGGCTGCATAGGATTAACAATATTTTTTTTTAGAATAAAATATTTTTTAATTATCTGCGGCGGTCGCGAGTGTTATTGCTTATGTTATTCCCTTCAATTAGAGCATGTGTTCACGATTTCCCCACGATCGTGGGTGACAATGATGATGTCCTTGTGATTGCGGCCCGTGAGAGATCATCACAATTTTTCCCTGGTCAATTATAGCTTTGCCATAATTTAGTGAGGATATTTCCCCAATTTTATTCGTGATCGCGATGATGATGTCTCATGGCCACAAGGGAGATGTTCAGGTGTTCAGAAGTTCTTTGCGATCGAGGGTGACGATCATGATGTCCCCTTGATCATGGGGGATTTTCACGGTTTCACCACAGGGTACTTTAATACTTTTAATACTTTTCTTTGAAATGGCAACCATACAAAGTAGGTAGGGGGCTTAAGGCTGCAAGTATCTTAAATCTGGCACTGATTACTGTTATTACCATAACAGTAGGCTGGCCGGTGTAAAGTTGCCACACAAACGCTGCAGAATTGTATTAGAGGAGGCTATGCTTAAGTGCATATTTGTTGCATCAAAATGTTTGATTTTATTACTGTTGGTTATATCACAAAAAGGAGTGTTTGAATCTTGCATTCCCATTTTAGCATTCAGAATTTGAGATGATTGATAGGATTTTAATTTTAGAGACTTAGTGCTATAGTTTTCTTCTATTTACAGCAATTTCCTTGAGGGCAGTTAAAACCAAACAAATTTCTTTGAAGCTTCCCCTTCTTTTATTGAAATACACTAGGTACTATGAAGTAGTATATACAAGTAAAGTATATATTCAATTACATACATTCAAAGTATACATTCGATTTTCTTGATGAATATCTTGCCAGTTATGAAGTTGAAAGAAACTAGTTCAATATAGCCACCGGCAGAGTGCATTGTACTAAAACAATATTTCTTATAAACCAACGTTTTATTCATTCCAACTTTTAAAGACAACTTGTTTTTTACAACCACATATTTTATTATGCCAATTATATCATTATAAAAGAAAAAAAACAATAGCTTCTCTTAATAAAAAAAAAGATTCATATGATTTTCTACTTACAGTAGACTCCCTATTATCCGGACTCCTCGGGACCGAGGCCAGTCCGGAAAATGGGTTTTCCGGTTTAACCGACGTCCCCAAAAACCAGTTAAAACTTCCTGACGATCTAGTCCGGTTAAACCAATGTGCTGATAAAAATTGTCCGGTTGAAGAGATGTCATTTCCGCCAATTGAAGTTCGGTTAAACCGATGTCCCATTAAAAGGTGTCCGGATAAGAGGAAGTCTACTGTATTCAAAATCTGAAGTCAATGGTATTATTAACATTAAGCCTTTAGTGGTCATGTCGGCCTTAGTCACTAACAAGACTACAAGATCGCGCCACTCATCCTACACTCATCCTTCACTCATATTTGGGTTAAAATACGCACACAGTGGCGTCCCCATCTTAAATAATTGATAAAAAAATAATTGATAATTGACTTCCATTCCTCATAGTTGTATTATACTCTGTTATACAAAGAGTATAAAAACAAGGTGTTATAAAGGAGAAAAATATATTTTGTTAAATAATTTTAATATCTACAGAAAACTGATAACAATTTACTATAGACAGTTCACAAAATATATGTGGTTTAAGGGGAAGGATTCCTGGGTTCCCCCGCTGCTTGTTTAGCTTAATTTATATATCAGCTGTCTGTCAGCTGTCAGCTGTTGTTTCATAGAGGGAGAAGTGGAGGGGATGGAATCGCTTACCCTCAAACGGCCTAAAACTTGTGAATGGTGTATAATAAATAATAAGTACATACACAATCTATGTTCAACTTTTTTATTCTTTCAATAAATAAACAGTCCTGATTAACATTATTGGACTTATACGTTTTTTATATATTTTTTTCATCGAATACGAATATTTCTTCATAAAATTTCTGATCTTTGAAGCTATAATAATAGAAGATTGACCTATTTTAAATAGTCCTGTAACTGCACAGTCAAGGTCATGTTGGTTGCTTGGGAGTTACTATACTGTGACACTATTCTGAGTAGTTTGTAAAAAAATTATATTCATTATACACAGAGCAAGACTTTAAATATAAACAGGATTTTTTTAAATCATGTTAACAGTTTTGGGCTGGTGAAGTATGTCTGTCTGTGGGACAGTAAAGAAATGTATGAATTATTTATAACGTACAGTGAGAAAAATCGTACATTTGCAACCAAAATATTTTTCCCTACAGTTACCTAACAATGTACATGTTCTCTCACTGATTTGAGAAAGCTAAGTGGCCAATTCACTCATCAGTGAGACAATGTTAACATTGTCTCACTCTAATTACTTTGTCTCACTCCAGATTTGCAACATGAAGGCACGAAATAGTGAGCGCGTAACATGCAGACAAGGTCGTATGCACGCGAAATATGTTGGCAGCACTGGCTGTAAATCAGCTGGTCAGCTGTTGTACTGTTGTATTTGTCACTTCACATTAAATGTCATTAAAAGTTCACTTCTGTGTAAAAATATGTCACGTTTCTTTACCAATTTATTTGTTTTATGGTAACTGTAGGAAAAATATAATGTGCAACTCGAGTGCAAAGTGCAATTGCCTCACTCTAGAAACCATTCCTCTTGAGCCGTAGGCGAGTGAGTAAGTATTTCTCTCGAGTGAGTCAATTCCTCCCTTTGCTCACTAGTTGCACAAATAACTATTTAATAAACAATATCTGCAAACTGACACATACTTACTCCTATTACCTCGTCTACAACCCTTAAGATAGGAAGGTGGTGGTAGTAACTATGATATACTAAAAAATGGGCATTGGAAAAATAACAAAAAATTGCAATTAAATTTGACCTGTAATTTTTACAGGATCGAGGGTTGTACCATTTTGTTTAGAGTTAAAAGTGTCTTAACATGGTTAGTGGCAGTTATGGCTAGGATTCTATCTCTATTGGAAAACATTGTTATTTGATAGTGTAAGCATTAATGTGTTTAGGCGTAGAAAAACTTAGAATAAATCTTGAGTTTGCAGAAAACATTTGTTCTATGAGGCCGGCTGCAGGTGTTCGTGAGTAACCATTGAGACAGTGATTAAAGTTGAGGAAACTTTATTTGCTAAATAGACTTTTTTTAAACTGGTTAGGTTTAAGTGTTGTATATAAATTAAATCTCTTCACCCCTTGAACACAGGATCTATGAAGAAACAGGTGAATAGATATTTGTGTTACAAGTGTCTACAATAAAACACTTTACTCCAATCACGCCCTTTAACGGACAATGGACTTTAATGCCGCTGACACCTTAGAACACAGAAATCTTACTACAGAACTTGTTTCATACTTGGCGAGGGCGTTGACTTTACATTGAAAACAAATAATCGTCGCATACGGTTGGGAACCGCCAAGAAAGTAGTAGAAAAAGTGATGTGAGTACTGGTGTCAGATTAAAACTTGCTGTGACTTGAGTTTGTTGGACATTAATTCATGGAAATCTCTCGTCCATTGGACCAGAAAGGATGTTCTCTTTCTGTCCCTTAAATTCACGAAAACATGGCGATTAAGAGTTTATACTTCACACTACAAAAATAAAAATGCTGTAAATGAATAGATCTTTCATTGCCCACAGCATTAGGTTTATAAATCAGCTTCAGTTTTTTATCCTGCATTTCACTCAACGACAACAAAATCTTAAGAAAATGTCTTTTTTAAATTGTATATTTAGTCTTTTGATTACTATAAATAGTTTTCTACTCATATCTATTTACTTGATTGAACAATTAAAAGTTCGTTTTTGTCACCTTCCTTAGAGGACATTTGTACATTTATCTTTTTTAATTTTAAACAATCAATACCGTACGTAATATACTCCCTAAAATCACTCTTTGTAATGCGGGTGTAACTAATGAGATGGTTACTGGCCAAGACCAGCTGTTTCATTAGCCAGGACAGTCTACGAAAAGCTTAAAGATCAAGGACGGGTAAACTATGAAAACCAAACATAATAAAACAAATTAACATTCAGAAGCACAACAAAATCGATTCACAAAAAAGTAAGATTTACACAACAAAACATAAATCAATAAAACTTAATGTAACTACTCTCACAACCTTTCAACCAACAGGGATTGCATTTTTTTTAAATTTATTTTAAGGAAATGTTACCTCTGTTTTAATACTGTCATACATCAGCAATCATTTAGAAAGCATCATTATTTGAAATCCCAATGATGATGAATCACAAATCCATATTTTTGATAATCAAACCATTAACATAAAATTAATACTCGACTTAACAACTCTGATACGATTAAAGAGATACATTTCTTAGAAGGTGTCTTCCTCATTCAGATGAGAATTGTTTCACTAAGAATGTTATCAGCTGTTGTAGATCAAGGGGCCATATAATGGTTAGCCTTAGAGCTCAGGCATTGTTTGATGGCTTCTTGGCATACGCTGTACTCCTTCCACGGCCGCTTCACACTACGATGCAGCAAGGCAAGGTGGGCATAGAGGAATGCCAATTTACCATCCATCTCTCCCGACTTAATATCCCTTACTACATCTTGGAAAATCTCTGATGATTTTTCCACATCGTCTTTCAAGCTGTAAGCAACAGAATTCTGTGTGATTCAGATATTTCAAGTAAGTGTTTTACCTTTGTTTAACACAATGTTAATGCTTTACATTAGCTAACCCTATTATTTTTGAATTTTTTAGTAAATTAAAAATATATAATACTAGGAAACAGTCAACTGATATAACAAACCATCAACTATTATTACACAAACTAGTGAAGACCAAAAACCAAAGAGTACTCATAAAAACCAAAGTCCTCTTTAGAAGGTTATATCGAAAACCCACCCGCAGCCACAAAGGCAAAGAAAATTAAACTTAAGTCTGGGCATCCCAAAAATGTAAGAGTTATAATTAATACAATAATTAAAGCTTATAATCCAGCGCACCTGCGAATGGTAACGATAATGTAATTTCTATATGGGCTTTGCTCCCTTGCGATTAAATTATTCCATAGCATATTCGTACCTCTCTGCAAAGTATTTCTTAGGTGTTTTTGACTGTAACACTGTTTTGGCGTTAAATATTAGGTATCGTTTCTACTATACTAGGGGCCACGAGAGACTGAGTTGGCGGCAGCCAATAGCAAGACTGGACTAGTGCGACGTTGCAAACTTACCTGTTCACTAGCTTTGGCACTAATTAAAATATACTAAACAAAATGTTCAAATCAGCTGGTATTATTAGATTTGGCAACACCGCACGGTCCTCATTGGCTACTTCTAAGTCACATGGTAAATAGGCTCCTCCCTCAACTGCAGACTCTTGTGGACCATACTGTAATGAACAAATTAATGATAACAGACGTAAGCTGATTTCTTTCAGATGGAAGGTCCTGCAGGATGAAAGTCAGGGGAAGATAAGATTTTTCTATATTTGCTTACTAGTGTTCTCTTTAAGTGATTATTAGGAGGAGATATCTATATATTAATACGCAAGTGGTTTTCTTTTCACAGTCATAACTCGATAACGGATTGACGGATTTAAACGTTCGAGGTGGCTAATTAAAGGTATTTTCGCGTAGATGTGCAAATACGTCTCAGAATATTTAGAAAGGGCACCATTTAAGTACACTTTAGGGCTGAAGTTTGGAAGGCGGCGCTATCTGTTGAAATTTGATCAAACTCATTTCCCTTTGTTTACAAATAACATATGGAATGGATGTAGTTTGAAATAGTTTTTAAGGTTAACCACAGACTGCAGGACTTATAACTTCCAGAGCAAAGCTGAAATTTATATTTTGTTTCAATCTGTTAACTAAGTCTGGTTCATAATGAAGAGTTTCCTATCAATACTAGACAACAAAGTGTTTAAGAATAAATTTTTAATAAATATTTAATTCTTCTTGTCTATGGTTAAATTGATTTACTTTACATCGTATTTTACTGATTGTCATGTAGTAACAGTTTGATGTGATGAAGTGAATGTTTAAAAGTGATTATTCACAGGGCAGTTATCCGTTACATTACCATATTATCATGTAATTTACAATGTGTATCAAAATTCCAATTCCTTTATTGTGTATTCTGTTGTTTGGTTAAATTGCTTATTTCATTTCAATTTAAAATCAAATGCCACCAGTACGACGAAGAACTGTGAGTGGCTGGAGGGAACGCGAACATGACCGCTTGCATCAACCAACCTCTCAATTGAACATGATGGTTACATAGCGGTAGTACTACCGTTGTGATAGTCCAATCTCGGACAAATGAACGTTGATGTTTACATTGTAGTGGCTTACATATTTTAAAGCAAGAAAAGACTGGCCGAGACAGTTAAGTTTGGACTCTTTGTTGCCATACATGAAAGGTTCGTTTACCTCATTTGTGCAATTCGCCACAATAAACTTCGGGTTCTTATTGGAAACTCCCAATATGAAAATAGGACTGTGAGACTTATATCCAGAAATTATTTGGATAAAGTTCGTCAATTCAGTTCTGCTACCATGGTCAGCTCCAAACCTCATTAGGATGAGAAAATTCCACAGGGGATCTACAATTTTAAGATCCGTGACATGTTTTACCACCGAGTGGGTCCTCTAATTCCTCAAGAAGGTGATGATCTTGAATACGCACAGATATATAAGTAAGTACGACAATGTCACTAGAACCCAAAGGAGAACTAAGCACAATTAAAAATAAAAAATATGCGGGAAATAGGGTCACAATGCCAACCCATTTGCAAATATTTGAAGACTGTGGCAGACATTATGTAGGGACGAGAGCTCCAAGGAGTTAAGTGAGATTCTTATGTACATAATAAGAGACAGAAGAAGTGTCTTCCCTCGCTACAATGGTGCTACCTGTGTAGATTTCGCAGCAATTTTTTAAGCTGAAAACAAAGCACCCTCTGGCCTAATAAATCATATAGTTTTTTCCAACACTAATAATGTTAAACGCGTATCCATTATAGATCTGTCGTTAGATCCACTTGCTTACCCTCTTATGTTCCCAACCGAAGACTTGGGTTGGGACCCCTAATTTAAACACGCCTAAAACAGAACACATCAAAGAAATAATTTAACAATGCTAGAATAAGAGTAGCGATGGTTGGCGTCAAGAGAGGAATTGAGCTACATTAGGTCAAAAGCTCACTTTACAGTGTGTGGTTGACATCTACGTGCTCATAGAGTGCACCCGCCTACTGTACATAAGAGATAACCAAAGCAGTATGAGAGTGAATGTAAATTTAAATATGGTAAATTGCTTTTATATTTTTTTACATCATCATATTTTTATATTTCTATAATCAGTCATATAAATTATTTTAGAGTGACTCTTTGATTAAGGTCTTGTTGTTTATGTTTTATGTTTATTTTTCTATACAAGTTTCAGTTTTGCTCTATTTCGAGCAACAGGTTATCTAGTATGATTTATCACTGGGAGTCAGGGAAGTGCAGCGTGCTACTTGTTCCCTAACACGTCAAAGTGAATATCCTTATTCTTATTACACACACCATTTAACAACACAGGAGCTGCCAAGAGACTGCCCGTGAACCTGGAGCTACCAAAAAGCAAGACACCAGGTTGATGTAACCATACTTTTTTCAAGCAACAGGGTTAAGCTTACCGGAGATAATTGGGGTCCAAGGCTAAAGACGCACAATATAAGGCCACAAAACAAAACAATGATATTTTGACTCCTGAGAGTAAATTGCAGAAAAATGTCACTTAAAGTTCAAAACTGGAGTAGGCCTAACACCAGTTTCATCCTATATTCTGGCTCGCTTTTATAAACGGGCAGACTGGGCACATGCCCAGGGGCGCCGGTGGTTTGGGGCCCTCAAACCAACACCCGCCAGCACTAGGAAAAAAAGGGGTGCGCTGTTCTTGGGTTTGCCCAGGGCTCCACTGATCTTAATGCGGCCCTGCCTATATTAGGACGAAACATCAGTGTTGTTTGCTCCTGGACTGTATTTTTCTCATGTAAGCTGGATCAACTCTACATCTTTTCAAAATAAAAATAAAACTTAATAACAGCTTGTGAATGCTTTCCACTGCTGAAAATCCTGGCGAAGGCAAAACAGAAAACAATAATATGTACCTGGGTAAGATATATGTCGGGTTAGAGTCGGGGAGCTGAGAGTAGATTGGCCAATCCTCCTGACATGCTTGACATACACAACTGAAGTGATACTGAGACCAGAGGCTACTCTGTCTTGTCTGTACGTCATGCATGGCGTGGTGGTAGCCATAATTGTCAAATATCTGCAACAATATACAAACTATCCAGGGACATACAATCTAATGAATACCACATAATGAAAACAATTCAAGAATTTGTTCACCTGAGAAGTGTTATCCTGTTCTATTATGAATTCAGTTACGTATCTTTGTTTCATTGATATAATTTACTAAAAAATATGTTTAAGGAAATATTGTAGCTTGAACCTCTTGTTTTTAAGATGATGAAAATTAAAAACACAAAAAACTATGACTCACTTAACATATTGTAAATGACATGCAAACCACATAGGTGTTCTATAAGTGTAGCTTGAACTATTGCAACTTTAGGGGTGTGTTGCTAGCCTTGTGGTTAGCGTCTCAGACTTTGGTGTGAGAGGGATGAATTTAATACCCAGAACACCCACAAAATATTAAGTAGTATTTAGCACTTTTTCTACCAAATGTCACACTCCTCTGTAAGAGGAGTCTTGTGTCACCTGGTATTGAATGAGTTAAAAGCGTTTATGTTTCTTCCTTACAAAATGCCACCGGCATAGATACTAGCAAAAAGAGAGAAAATATCACAAAGTTAATTTACTAACTCTCACACTACCAAATATGCAATCCACATTAAAATGTGTATTTAAGTTAACAGTTTATGAAATTGGCTACATACACAAAATTTATCACTTAAAGCGAGTAAAGTGCCCACCTACCTGGTGACCAGAGGGGATGGCTTGTATGGCAGTGAGCACTGTCAAATCACCCTGATGGCTGTGTCTCACCACATTGGGATCACAGGAATGATTGATGAGAGACAAGACCGGGAACAAACCACCTCCAACCTCCACACTCTCACAAACCATCTCTCCCTCTCTCTTTCTCATCACCATCTCCGACACTTCGTGAGCGTTTGACGGCACAATCATCAAGTACCGGAACAGCAGTCCACCAACAAAAAGCTTTGCTGAATACGGCAAGTTGTTTTCGACCCTCTCACCGATCGCCGTGTTATCAATCGACGAGAAGTAATCTGTATTTTTTTCTAACAGGTGTAAAATATAAGCGGCTGTAGCCGCTCTTCGGAAGATATCGGCGTTTGACCTGAGCTCGAGATTACCTACTAGATGGTGGACTGTTTTGTAGTTAGCTGAGTTATATTGGCCTCTGTCATCTAGACCTTTTAATTTGGGGTCTTTAGCCGCATCTGTTTCTGAAATACTTTCCATGAGCTCTATCAAAGATTTACCCTGACTAGTGGCTCTCATTAGAGTTCTGAGTGATATGAGTTCAATTTTAGTGAAATCGAGAGCAACAAGCAAAGGAACTAAGCCACACTCAATTCTATGGTCTGAGTCCCAGCTGTCCGATCGACAAGTCTCACTGCAAAACATGGCCTGGAAACAAATATTGAATTTAGTTGATTGTTATGTATTTTTCGTCATTATTTTTGTTGCAAACCGTTTTTATAACTAAATAAACAATTGCAAAAAAATATAAATCGGTACTTAAAGATGGATAAGTGACAGAAGAAAGGAGGAAGAAAAAATACCAAAGCATGTGGCAGTAAGAACTCAATCAACATATTTTTAATATATTTTTTCTAAATTATATCCCATTAAATTGTCCTTCTAAATTGAGAGCAAATTGGGACATCAGGCAACCATCTCTGGTTAAATCATTTCCTGATACCTCAGAAAACTTCAGGGATACTTCTGAAGTGTTCTAAATAAATATACATCTGAAAGTGAAAAATCAATAGCTTGGATAGTACTATATAGTATATGTCACCCAACCTATTGCATTTTACATATATCCAAGTTTATTTTATTAAGAGGTTGGCGGACTCTTTTAACCTTGCATTTGCCCGTCCACATAGACTACAGATCTGTGCGTGGAACGTATCCAGCAAAGCAAGGGGTGAGCCGGTACAGTACAAAGGTGAACTGTACTGATAAAAGTTAGTGGCAGTGACCAGGATCCGAACCCACGACACTACTGCCTTGGGCCCGAAGTCCGCGATGCTACCGACTGAGCCACCGACTCACTAATTTTGTGTTAGGTACTTATATTTCCATATTAACTACAGTAGAGTACCGCAAACTCGGCGTAATATGGACTGGAAGGGTGCCGAGTTTGTGAAATGCCGGGTTATCGGGAACTAGAGTTAAAAACAAGAACAATACCATTTTTAAGCTTATTAACTACCTCTTTTATTTATATTTTTATTACAAGTTAGTATCAAGTCATCAGATATAGTACAAAAAACCATTTGTACGAGCTGAGAATGATTTGACTTGAGCTGGCTTGAGTCCATGTTCAACTCAGACTCAAAAAATCACTAATTTTCTGAGCCAGGTGATGGCCGAGTTATCCAGACTGCCGGGTTATCGAGCGCCGAGTTTGTGGGACTCTACTGTACTAGTAAAATCTCTATTAATTTTATTATTTCTATTTATTTTTATATTTTTAAATTATCATGATTACTTTTCACCAATATTATATCTCATACATTCAAAACGCATATGGCACTAGTATTGTTTATTTTGGGGATCGAGCTGGTCTAGTGGAAGAGCGCAGTATTTTGATTGAGGCCATCTTGGGTAAAAATCCTGCCAATCATCAACAGATTTTATCTAAGTGACAATACTGTGACTAGTGGCTTAAATAACACTCCCGCGAACCCTGTAATGCAGGGGGGGGGGGAGTCACATTTGAGGGAGTATACCACAAAAGGCACACATTAAAATGTTTTACAATTATAATACTGTAGCTACAACTTATCATCAAGAAAATGTTACATACCACAACACAGTACAAGCAAGGTATCAGTGAGTGGCATCTCTTCTTGCAGTGAAAGCAGTAATTGTTGTAGGACGAAGGTAATAACACGGATGCAAATGGTTTTTCTATAACAAGCACATCTCCTAGAAACAAAAAAGTCAATAGAAACTGTTCTTTTGGCCTGTGAAACATAGTTCAAGACATAAATACCCCCGCCGCAGCAAACCTGCAGCCAAAGCAAATTCTCTTTGCCTAATTGGATTTACACTAACATGTCTCCTTAAATATCACATTTATTACCTATTTCAATAGAGTTTAACGAGTACTCTAGGTTGGCTGCAACAGGGGGGTTAAAAAGTGTTTTTGTAAAATTGTAATAGCTTAGTATGAAATAAATACATTTTCCAAAAAATGTGATCAAAATATGCGCATAAAGAAGCAAACAACAACAGTTGACTTATTCTCCATAAGAATTACATGGGAATTTTAAATTTATAATTTTTTTGAATTTTCTCAGTAACTTAACCATTAGGCGCATAATAACGCTTCAATATACTCAATTATTTGTTTTTTAAGTTCTAAAAAATGGTTTGGAAAGAAATTGCTAAATTTTATGTTTTAAGAGTCAAAAATGAGAAAAACCAATTTTTACCCATGAAACACCCCATAAACCCCCTTTCCCATGGTCAGATCATGCTGGTTCGCGAACTTGTTTGAATGTAGGTTTACACGTTTATACCAAAATTGGATAATTTTTGCTCGAGTTATCATGGTAACGGACGCATATGTATATATATTTATATGCCGGTAATACCGTCTACATATGAATTTGAAGGGTTGGTGTTTTTTGCCTCTAGGGACCTCAAAACAAAAAAGTAAATCGGTCCTGGGTCTAGGTCTTACCATGAGTACTACGGTAATAGCTTATTCCCTATTTGGGAAATTCGCTAAAAGGCTGCAGGGTGGATGAATTTTGTCATTAGGAATGTAAAATATTAAAATTATAATCAACCATAACACTTGCAATACAAATTCTGACCTGAATACTTATGTTGTGTCAGATCAAGTACAGTATGTGTACCATTCTTTGTAGCTACTATTGTACTATCACTACAAAATCATAGAGTAGTTAGTTACTATAATCAATGATTTCCATAAGAAAACAACTTAGTTTTACAGAGCATTTTTCTTCATTGTTAAAATATTTGTGTTTATCGGGAAAACACATTCAGAGAGACCACCTCTTGGGTCTTTTTCTGAAGAGGGCCACCACTTTTTAAACTGTGGAATAACCAGTGATGGCCCAATTTTGAAAAAGACCCCACCTCCTCTTTACAACATTTTAGATAGCTATATGTTGTAAAAAAATATGACCAACCCATCCATTAGGCTACATTAATGAAATAGACTTACTATAGAATATGGGCCTGCTTACCAGGTTCTATGTCGGAAGTTGCAACTAAATGACGTCCAAGTTCCTGGGAGTATTCAATCTGAACAAGAGATGATGCAGACAGAATCATTTCATTCCTGCTTTCTGAGAAACATGGTGGACATTCTTTCTCAGATTTGTCTCTATAACTATTTGCAGAACACGAGTTCAAAAGGTTTTTAAATGCTGATGTTGTTGATATTAATTTTTCCTCGCTGAGATTTGAACAGGACAATGACTTCAGTGCTAACTAAAACACATACATTATTTTTATCATTGTTAAAGATTCACATAAAACTAAAACTTGAATAGTCTAGCCTAGATCTAATTTACCGGTATCCCTTTATAAAACAGTAAACTCTTTCTTATCAGGATGCCTTTTAACCACTACACTTGGCAGAAGTGACATCCCTTTAACCAGACAGTTTTTATCAGCATATCAGTTTTTTAACCATACCGGATAAGCAGGAAGTGGGCAGTACTGAAACAACTTTTCTCGTGGGAAATATTCGAGACCAGTGACCATATGTTTTTAAAGTACCTACAATTCTCTCCTAAGTTAAATTTATGTTAAAAAGAATTGGTTTGGTCTTTGAATGATTCCCATGGAGTGCACATGTAGTATAGTACATTAGACGTTCTCCTAATTTAACAAGTATTAAGTGAATTTGGTTCAACCAGAAAAATCCTTATCTGGATTGGCTTCGGTCCTGCGGATAAGAGGGAGTCTACAGTAATAGAACAATATATCTAGGATTTTATAATTAATTATCGGAAGGAACGTATATTGTAGGCCTAAATTAAGTAAATTTTTGTAATAGATGGTTACCCTAGTTTTATCAGTAAGTTACTGGAGGAACTTGCAATGGATTTGATTTTGCTGCTCTTCCTTCTGAGAGTTAATGTTTCTATTCAGTCTGCAAATAAGCCATCGGACATCCACTACATTATTAGCAGGCTAGACCTAATTAAGTTAGTAGCCAACTTTAGAAATCCAATAGGCTATGTTTAGGCTATTTGTCATAACAAATAATATATAGTAAATGTAAAAGAAACACCTAGACGAGGACTGCATTTACATAAAATAGCTAGTAAGCTTACCAGCATAGTTAGCATGTTAACTGTAACATGTGCAAAGCAAGGTTTTCATCCAAGGAAATATTCATTTTTGCTAGTAAGCTGCAGAAGGCTTATTTACAGTAAGTTTTAGGCCAATGCAACTAGATGTATCTAGATATAGGCTATCTAGCCTAAACTTGCTGATTGAGGATCAGTAAGTTATGTACGATGATAATTGGTAGGTAGGGCCTAATTATTTCAATAGGTCGGCTATGGCAATTAGCCATAGCCTAAGTTATCTTTGAAAAAAAGTAGAGCTTTATAATATTCAAGCTAGGTTACATTTTGTAAATTACCTGAAACATTTCTGCAGCTAATTTGTTCTTCCCAATTGACTTGAGACACTTCCCTTTTCTCTCATACAGTTTAAACTTTAAATGTTCAGGATATTTTCCTGCAAGAGCACGGTCGATATCTTCTAAGCATGTTTCAAACTCGTTCAAAGATAAAGTAACGGCAGAACGATTGGCATAGGCAAGGGCCAGTTCTTCACTTCCTATGGGAGCAAAAGCTGCACTTACAGAATAAGTTTGTACCGCAAGCAGGTCCTGTTTGAGAAGGAACTCCTTATTACCCTTTTCTCTAAAGGCCAAAGACTCTTTTGGAGATTTAGGGTGATTTTCTAATCCATGAGGTAATAGGTTTGCCTCAGAAAATAAGTAATATGCCATGCCAACTTTTTCATGGTTATTTTTTAAAGATGAAAACATCTCTGAATACTGTTCAACTGAGTAATTTTCCTTAATATATTTCTGAAGCAGTTTAAATTTATCATCAAAACTAGTGTTTGTTTCCATCGTTTACTGAATGCTAAAAGTTTGCTGTTTATGATTTAGGTTAGAATATATGCAAATTGCCTGTTTAAATCCAATTGAACTTAAAGTTAGTTTTAAGTAGGTATTGAAATCTGTTCAGTTAAGTTCATCGACAACAAAGTATTCAAATGTTAAATTTAAGCCTAACTTTTTTTATAAAAATATTAGACTTATCTCAACCAACACCACAAAGGAAGAATAATTTTAAAAATAATTCTCCAAATAATATACACAACAATAATATCAACAAACAGACGACACAATTTTACTTCCCCCACAGCCAACTAAAGTAAACAGCTGTTAAGAGGATTTTCACTGACACATAAATAAAATATTGTTATTCAATATAACAAATCATGGAGCATAAGTGAAGGACTTGCATGGATCAACTAAACCAAGTTAAGACTGCTCACTGTACTACAACGCAGAGGTATGGTAATGTTATTTGAAGCAACTATGATCGATATAAGATATGAGGTCAATTATAAAATAGTACCGTGCCTCTCCGTTTAACAGAGACATCGCATGTTGGCATTATTTATTACAATGTTCATTGAACGTTGCTATGCCATATATGCTAGCCAAGTTACTCATTTGGCATATTGTCTCATTTGTCTGGTACCTATTTAGCAAAGTAGTAAAGGCTTAGCCTCCACTAAGGTCATTTTATTTTTGTGCTTGCAAATTATACTTTCACATCGAGATAAATTTTGCAACAGATAATCTATAATTTACTGTTTTGGGTATGGTTGGGGCCAGATTGACTACATAAATACCACAATTTAACTATACAGGGTGTTTTTTTTTTTTTGTTTTTTTTTTACTTTCTTTATTTATATAAAAACAGCAATAGATAGAAATATGCAGTTTGCGGGAATCATCTATATTGACGTAGAGGCCACAATTGTTGTGAATTCAACGTTAAGTTTCAATTCACCCCCTTTCTCCCCCTGCCCTTAACTTAAAATTTGTTAGTGTAAGGTACCCGTGTTAAAGGGCATGAAAAATAAAACGAATGACACAACTAGACGTCTACGTCAATCCTGTCAAAAGTTATGGCAGTTCAATTTTTAATTTTTCTCTCCCTTTTTTTTAGAAAAACACGTTTTTTATGGCTAGCCTATAGCTCGAAAACGGTGAGAGCAAGTAAAGATTTGAAAGAATTTTTTGTTCAGGAATTAAATTTTCTACAAAAGACTCTTAGGTGTTTTCCGAAAATCTAATTTCTTTATTCCTCTTCAAAAAACGCCACTTCTAAAATTTGTCGGATTTTTATGTGTTTTTTTTTTATTAAACAAGCATGCCAGCTAGTCACTCACACCTTTGAAAATTGCTTGTTCAATCAAAAAACACCGTAAAAATCCGATAAATTTTACAAACTTTTAATACCTAATTAGAAGTGGGGCGTTTTTTTTAAGGGGAAGAAATGTGACTTTTGGAAAAAGCCTAAGAGTGTTTAAAATAAAACACCCTGTATGTTTGAAATTCCAGTAAACTAAGATATATATTTTATGATAGGTACGGTATCCTAAACAGTTTTATTCTAAAATAACATATTATTCAATAGAGGTGGGAACTCTAAAAGCAAAATGTACAAGCTGAATGAAGAATATAGGCCTACAAACCCATTTTTCCCAACTTTTTTGTGTTAGAAGGCCTGAGTCTTGTTGAATATAATTTTTAATTTAAATGTATAATTAATTATAATTAATTTTGTATTTGCAATTATTGACATTTAAGTTATAAGTTTAGTTGTCTTTGAGATGTATGGCAATAAGAAAAAGCACATATACACACGGTAAGGTATAATGTCAAATCTTTTTTTTTTTTTTTTTTTTTTTTTTAACTTTATTTAATTTACAATCTGTTCAAGTTGAACAATAAGCAAATGATATAAATAGTAATACAACAACAATAACTTGAAGAACATGAGCTAGTGATTGACCACTGTCAACACTAGCTAACAAAGAGAATTTTGATAACACTTAGCCGAATCTGAATGGGAGGTCCAATATTGTATGTCGCTTCAGTCTGTAAATGGTGTTGTGATTGTCCAATAAATTAAGTGCAAGATGATTTGAATGATTTTCCAATTTTATAATGTATTTTTCACTATATTTTGTAATTTCTTCTTTTACTGTTCGAATTTGAAGATCATTGTGAAGTGTTCTGTTGGTAACAAACCAAGGAGCGTTGACAATTTTACGTAATAATTTTGATTGGTAACGTTGAATAATTTCAATGTTTGAGGTACTTGCTGATCCCCAAAGCTGAATACCATAAGTCCAAATTGGTTTTAAAACTGTTTTGTACAGTAACAATTTATTTTGTGTACTGAGTTTTGATTTAGATCCAAGAAGCCAATTAAGTTTAGTTGTTTTTAAATTTAGTTGTTGCCTTTTAGTCCAGATATGTGCCTTCCAATTAAGCTTTGCATCTAAGTGCATGCCCAAGTATTTTATTTCCGTTACTTGAGGGAGGTGAATATTGTTCATGGATACTGGAGGACATGTAGCCTGATTTAAGGTAAAAGTAATGTGTGCTGATTTATTTTCATTAATTTTGAACCTCCATGTTTTAAACCAATGAGAAATTTCATCCAAGTTTAGCTGTAAATTTGCTGTAGCTTGAGCTGGATTGTCGTGGACAGATAAAATCGCCGTGTCATCCGCAAATGTAGCAACCATAATGTTTACACTTTCTGGTAGGTCCGATGTATAGAGAATATACAAGTATGGTCCAAGCACGCTTCCTTGGGGGATTCCTGATTCTATAGGGTAAAGGTCAGTTAAGTAATTTTGATGTTTAATTTGGAAAGTTCTGTTGGTAAGATATGATTTTAAAATAGGAAAAACTGAATGGGGTAGTAACTTCTTAATTTTGAATAGTAAGCCAGAGTGCCATACTTTGTCAAATGCCTGACTGACATCAAGGAAAGCAGCAGAACAAAATTGTTTGTTTTCCAAACAGTCAAATCTTTAGAAATAAGAATTAACTTGTAGTTTTATATTCAATCAGCTGCCATTTTTTACTGGATTGAGATAGAGAACTAGTTTGCGGACAAACTGGGAAGAAGAAAGGAGGACGCAAGATGCAGAGAGGTGTGGAGACAGTGTGTTGGGGAGGCCAAGTACCATTTAGCTAGGATACCAGTGGCCACAGCAGTAAGTAAGTAAGTAATTGATTTTATCCGTAACCATTTTTAAGTTGACAAAAAACGTGTCAATATTGTAAATTATTTTTACGCTATAAAATAGTTTTTAAATTAATATTTTGTGAGTGAAAATAGTATAAACCAAATTTTACCCTTTATAAAATCCTAATGGTATGGTATTTGTTTTTAAGTGTAAAATATACGAGATGTCGTACTAATAAATACAATAATAGTATGATGTAATTGTATAAAAAAAGTATTGAAATAATAAAAACAGTCGTGTCAGGAATGTTATCATATCTTGGTTGAGAGAGCTGCATAACAGGTTGTTTGGAAAGTGCACAACAAACAAGCCCTCCTATATCAACCCAGCTTAAATCTCAATACAGTTTTAAAACAAGAAAACTCAATCGTTCAAGACAATGATACAAATAATCCAACCATACCTGCTACTTCTGGGAGTAATAATAGATGTTTCTTCTGTGGATTCAATAGACATCCAAGAAATGACTGTCCCGCAAGAAATTCTTACTGTAAAGGTTGTGGTAAAAAGGGTCACTTTGTTAAGATATGTAAGTCTTCCTCTCAAATAGATAAATCAAGTTTTGGTCAACACTAAAAAATTAAACATACAACTTCATCAGTCATAAGCCACATAAGTTGTTCTTCAAGTTATCCCCTAGGTCTTTCAAAAGTTATTGTCCCAGTTAATGTAAATGGTAAAGCAGCTCAAGCCCTAATTGACACTGGTAGTACCACTAGTTTCCTGAGTAGTGACTTGGTAAATCAACTGAAAATAAAAACCTATCCTTCTAAAATCAGTCAAGTATCAATGGCGGCTTCTGAGTTAATTTATAAAACTAAAGGTGAATGCAAAGTTAATTTGAAGATTCTTGGTAACTCATACAATAATGTGATTTTGTGCATTTTACCCAACCTCTGTTGTGATTTGATAATAGGTCATGATTTACTCAGTCGTCATTCTAAATTAGAACTCACATTAGGCGGACCTGAATCACCTCTTGCTATAGTATCTGTAGCTGCTGTAAATGTACCACAAGCTTCACTATTTGAGCATATTTCACATGATTGTCACCCTATTTCTGTGAAATCTCGCCGTCATACAGTAACAGATTATCAGTTTATTTCAGAAGAAATTCGCTCACTGTTGCATGAAGGGGTAATAGAACCAAGTATATCTCCATGAAGAGCTCAAGCTTTTGTTACCAGCTCCAAAAACCATAAGAAGTGTATGGTAATAGACTAATCTAACACTATAAACAGATTTACAAGTCTTGATGCTTATCCGATCCCAAATCTTGAAGACATTGTCAATAAAGTTGCTATAGTTCGGCCGCTTAGAAAGCGACCTCCTCCAGCATTGGTTTAGCATTAGCGCGCAGGTCGTTTTCTAAGCGGCCGAACTATATGAAGTGTTTAGTGTGCCATTGATCGCTTACCATCAAATACCGATCAAGGCTGAAGATAAGCCCTTTACAGCTTTTGAAGCATGTGGTCAGCTGTACCAATTTATTTATTTATTTATTTATTAATTTTGATAACAATACTACATTACAGGCATAGAGCCCAATTACAATGCAGCATTAATTTTTAAGTCCATTATAGAAAGTCCATGCAGTCTTCTTGGTAGGTACACACAACATCACAATTTACATAATATTTAACTACTAAGACAAGATAACAACCAATAAATAATAATAATAACATTTCATAAAAACAATAAATAAACATATCAATAAATAATGTAACGAAAACAAAACTCTCAGAGAACGGTTTAAAATATTACATAGTTTTCTGTGCAGAAGCAACCAGTTGGGACGTATGCCAATACTAATCCGCAGGCCAGCTCGCCAAGTCCACCCCGCAAGCGTGCACCAAACGCGCCGGCCGACCAATACGGCACAGTGCCGTGTAAAAACACAACACAGTACAATCACTCAGTCAGCCAGCACCCCCAGCACACGCCCGCGGAATAAACTCAAAGAGCAGCCAAACAAATCAATATCAACACACGCCGAAACAGAGTTATA